ACACCCGAGATATAGTAGTTCAAGTTCCACTTGATTTTTTTGCAGCTTACAGATACTCGGAACACCGAAGTGTTTTTGGGGGAAACAAAACAAATATGCTGTAAAAAAAAATAAAAAAGGGAAAAGCAAGCAATTAGTTGATGGTGCGGCAGCACATATTAGTCGCCGCCCCTCAGCTTGTCAGACGACGACTTGATTTCACCACGTCCACGCTGCTGATCCGTTGCGCCGCCTCGCTCAGTGGCTGTCTGCTTCTCCTCTGCGTGGTCCTGAATGTCAATCTGCAGAGCTCCCCTGCACTCAGACAGTAGCCACCAGTGATGCTGCACTAATTAGCCAACCCCCTCGAGTAGCCCATCCCTCCCAATGGCATCTGTGCAAAACAGAATTATTAAAGAGAGACGGAGGAGGAGTCGCACCTCCGCTGCAGAGGAGCAAACACCCGGGTTTTGACTTAGCATTCACTCGCAGCGCCCTGCAGCTCGGGAGCCGCCATCAATATTAACAGCCAGATACATCCATCGCCGTAGCGCATATTTTCCAACCCGACCTAATGAAAATTTCATGTGAATCACATAATTCCTTATTTAAATGAGCACCGTCTGGAGATGATCGGTGGTGGCTCAGTGACTGCACAGTGACTGTGTATTTTTCACGGTGTAGTAAAAGCAGTAGAGGTCTGTGTGTGTGTGTGTGTGTGTGTATTTGTTGTTGTGTGTATGTCCTTCGAGGCCTTGAAACAGTGCTGCCTGGTGTTTAATTCATTTTCTCCTCTGCTAATTTTTTATTTAATAATCAATGCTCCATCCTCACCTCCTGTCTGTTGGCATTCAGTCGGCATTGATGCCTTACTTGCTGATTTGTTTATATATTTATTAATTTCATTTACCCCTCCCGATCCAATTTTAGCTGACATTTCTTGTCGAGATGCGAAGTATGACCTTTGAAAACAGAACACTTCCTGCCGGAGACGTGAAGGAGGTCTTCCTCTCTCACTCTCCCTTATCTGTATGCAAAGAAAGAAAGTGCAAAAAAGGTGTTTGCATCTGTCACTCAAAGCTCAGGTGCATGAAAACATTTATTGCGAAGACGATTTGTTTGCTTACAAGAAAAGTAAAACATGAATTATATTTGCAGCCCCCTTTCATAAGAACATTGCATAATGACATCTGAATTAAAGTAGCATAATGAGGATGTAGATAACAATATAACGTGTTACAAGCCAATAGAGTGTTTTCTATTTGTGGGAAAAGCTTAAGCTTTTGATGGTTTAATCAGTGAATAAACAGGAACAGTGTTGTTCCTTCAGTGTCTTCTCTCTCGTTTGCCAAGTAATTTGGTAGTTTGTTTTCTTTAGGCTTTAGCTTCGACCTTTATCCTTTTAAGTTTTATTTTTTTGATGTATTTGAGTATTCATGCAGCGCATGCAGTGGGCTCCGCGGTAGCTCTGACAGCGTGGCAGGGGGCCTGGCATTACAGATAATCAATTTTTACAAAGCTCACGCGGCTCGCTACACACAAGTTTCGAAGTGACAACGAACCGACATCTACTTGTAAAGTTCAAATAAGATCTACTCCCAGATATAGGCTCGCTAATTACTGCTTTTGCTGGATTTATGAACGTTGGTATTGAAGGCTATAGCATTGCTTCACTGTCCAGAGACCATCGGGGCACCTGGAGGCGTTTCCACGAGTCCAGAAGACACGTCTAAGGATCTATGCAAAATAAAATGATTCACTCACCAATTTTTTAGAATTCCTCCCCAAGAAACTTAGTGTCTGGGTCTGGTCTATGTATATTTGGAGATCTTTTGCAAGGTCTGCCATTTCATGTGTGTTTATTTGGAGATCAGTGGTCCTAATGTGTGTCTATTTCGGGGTGTGTGTGATTTGATGAAAGTGCCGAGCGGCCCTGCTCTACATCACCTAATGAGCTGCGGTTTGCTCGCCCACCTTTTTACTTTCTCTGCCTTTGAAATGTATTCTTTCTGCGTATGATACAGTCCCTTTGGGACCACAGGGTTTCTTTGTGAGGTGCATTTTTATGTATCATCTTCACATCGTTCTCACACACATCTCCTGTATTCAGAGCAGCAAGGCATTTGCACAAGCATTTCAAGGTGGCAAAATGATTTAACCGGTGTGTGAGTGACTTTGCGAATGTACCTGTTTAGGTTTCACCTGTGTGTGTTGGTGTGTGTTGGTGTGTGAGCTTGTGCGCGCATGTGTGATATCACAGGAAATGAGAAAGACCTGCATTATCCTCTGCTGCCTGTTGCCACGGCAACACTCCCGGTTACAGGAGTATCTAATAGGTCTTCCATATATAAATGAACCTGCAGCATAGTATGCACTTGTCTGTAACATCTTTAAATAGTATATATTCATACTCCAGTTTGCTTGTACACTGCTATTCAATCGTCCATGTTGGCATTTGATCATTTCAAAATATATGTTGAATTTTATTCTTTTCTATTGTATTTTTGTTACCTTAACAATACCGTGAACTGTTTGACACTTACATGTTACAGTTGGAACACCTGACCAATACAACATTTTTGCAAGTCCATTTGCACTTGTGTTGTGAAATGTGTCGTTTCTAGGATCTATTGGTAGTTGAATGTGTCTTATCTCACACTATGTGCCATATCCTCCACGCCACTTCAATTACAGTCGGAGTGGATGACCCATTGCTGCCATAATAGACACCGTGAGCTGTAATATCTGGCGTTGTGTTCAAAGTCACAGTAATGTGTGAAGCGTGTGAGTCATCAGCCGAGCGCTCAGGCAAACCGTGCACTTATGCATCAGATCTTTACTGCTGGACTGCGTATTAGGGTTTGCTGGTGGGCCGCTGCGTGGAGGCTTTCATGTCGGGTCTCTTATAAAATGCATAAACTGAATGCCTTCATTTCACATTCAAATTGGTTCTGGTGATATCACTCTTAAATATCATGTTTTTGAATCTAATAGTTTCCTGATCCAGAGGGAGTTCCTTAAGACATTTGACTAGAAAGCTCAACTTAGAAAGGTCAACTTTCTTTCATTGAGCCTCGCAGAGCGCCGAAGCTCCACACAAGCCGGCCTGCTCCCCTTTTCTTGCCTATCGTCGACCCTCAACGCAGACCTGTTTCTCAACTTACTTGACTTATTTACCTCTAAAGTATTGATTTTACAGAAATTGAGTCTATTCAATAACACTGTGGATATAGGATGATATGAAGTTGGGACAGCACCAGAGATATTAAAATCACCCATGGTAACAATTCCTAATTAGGTTCTCTGAATCGAAAACAAATGAGTAAAAAATGAAAAAGTGAGACAAAAGGGAGGAAATGTGACATCAAGCAGTAATCATTAAATGCTTAATATATTTTAAACCATCCCTTTTCCCGCCCTCTCTTTCACAGAAACTTGTCGAAGAACCCTCTCGGCACGCTGTCATGGCAGCTCTTCCAGCACCTCCAACTCTCCGAGCTGTAAGTCGTCATGCCTCTTTCTCCTTGGCCTTTGTTTGTGTTTTATTGGGGCGATTCATCATCGCTCCCTGCACACTATCTGCCGCCATACAAGATGTCCTCGCCAAATACTACTATAATTCCTGTCTTTGTTGTACAAAACCCTCTAATTCATCTGAGCTTGTGTAGAAGACTGAACCTATAGGCAGCAGAGTTGCTCTGGGATTGCAAAAGTCATTTGTTGACTCAATTAATGCACACAAAGGGAATGTAATGGGTCTGGTGTCGGAGGAGGGAGCCCAACAACATCCTCTTGTTTGCGATGAGTATTTCAGCGATCATTGTGTAAATTAAGTCAGCTTGCTCTTGCACCTCCAGGGAGAACATTGCAACACCGATCTGCTTGGTGATGTCCCACATTGGTGCGCCATGTCGATCGCCCATTGTGTTGCTGGGCTGCGAACATGCAGTCCCCCCGCGCCTCCTGGCCTTTAAAGCTGAGGGGTATCATGCAGGACTATTTCAAGCAGGCCTCCTTATTGTGCTATTTTCAGGAGGTGGAAGCGGGGCAGGTCCTCTGAGAGAGCATCACAGTCCTGCAGCGCGATGTGGCAGAGTGTGGAAAAAGCCCTGCTTACATTGACTTTAATGTTATGCATTTTTCAGCTTTTAGCTGTCACAATGCCGAGGACGTTTTTGAGCCGCAGATATTACAGGGCGCCCGTTCTTATCCGTCCTGTGTAGGAAGCGGCTGGTGGCGGACCCCATGCCGGCGCTGCACAAGTGTCATCTCAATGTGGGCCCTCGTCGGAGGCAGATGGGCCTCTGAATCCCACATTGTGCCTGTTATCGGGTTGTGAATTTAATTCTTCACTGGACTGAACAAGTTCTGTACTTTTGTTATCTCACCAGCTGTCCAATTCTTGTAGAAACTAGCTATGGCCGTGGGCTCCTCTTGTTGCTGCTGAATTGTGTAAGCTTTCATATTATGTAATGCATTTATTGATGGAAATAGCATTATGATCAAGCATCAGTATCACTGTAAAAATACCTAAATGCATTTCTATGGAAACTATTTTCTATGACTCACAGAAGCCTTAATGGCGTTTTTCTCCTCGCTGGTTTGACCTGGTCTGGGTCTATTTAACAACAGGTGATGTCACAAACTACCAGATTTAGAAACATGTGAATTAGAATGAGTTGGTTGATCGTTTCCAATCAATCTAATCCTCATGGTGCTGACATTCTGCACCCCCGAAACCAGGTTTCAGAGCGTTGAAGCTGTAAATTATCATTGGATTTTGCTCTTCCTGACAGTTCTTGAACAAATTATACTAAAGCTTCTATTGGAAAAAGCGACCAAATAAAATCTTGAAATTACATCGGCTCTTATAGATTAGGTATTTTAAATTTCGGCCAAAATAAACCTACTACTATACTGTATGACCTATACTGTAATAACTGTAAAAGAAACATTTTTTGACTGGCCTGACACCAACGCTCACATGAGAAAAAAAACCCTTGGCTGTTTGAGAACGAGAAGAACTGTAGGCTGTTTGCACAAAGCAGGAAAGACAGGAGAGGTTGTATGTGGAACGCTGCAGTGAAAATTGCCTTGGGGTTAAGCCCATTTAGATTATTCCCTCTCTTATATATATATATATATATATATATATATATATATATATATATATATATATATATATATATATATATAAATGTATATATATATATATATAAATGTATATATTTGAATGGCCTCCCATTCCTGGACAGACTACACCACATGCAGCAGACTGGAATGACGAGCGGCGGATCGCAGCTCACAGAGCACGACTTGAAGTGCAATCTCAATCCCCTTCAAGCAACCATTTTAGATGGGAACAAACTGTGCCTTTGTTGTTCTACATGCAAAGCGGAGGAGGGGTGACGCCCGTGTGTTTCTTTTTTTTTTTTCTCCAGGAGAATGCTGATGAGGAGCGGGGGAGGTGGGGGGGGGCTTCGTGTCTATTCAATTTGCCCCGCGTTTGGTTAAGAGGTGTCGGAGTGGCGTTGCGGGCGAAGGAAGCCATGTGGAATAAGGCCGACCTAACGGAATGAGTCACTCCATCACGCTCTGCGACGGGGCCACATTACTCTCGTCACTGTCTCCGTGCGCTCACCCAGACTGCATTAGCCCGCCGAGCGCCAATCATTCAGTTGGGCCAAGTGAAGCGCGCTCGCCGTGCGCCGCGTAGCCTTTAATTATTAGAACGATACACAATGCAGTATCAATGATGAGTGCCCCCCCACCCATCCCCCGCTGCTGAACCACACTGATATTATGTAGATGGAGGGAGATCAAACCAGCTGAAGTCATTTCCGTTTGATGCGACGCGAGGGGAGCGCGGCCCTTTGCCACCACGCTGTCGCTACGCCGCGTTATCTCAGCCGTGGTTGTTGTAATTGTATTTCATGTTATTTTATCCAACCAAAGAGAAGCAATTCCAAAAGTCGCACACCGGATACAGTGACCTGCGACAATGAGGAAATGATTTAGCCTGAAATGACACTGTGAGCATTTCAAAAGCATGACCATGACCTTTTTTTTTTGTTGTTGTTTTATTAAGGCACATTTTGTGTTACACTGCTGCTCTCTAATTGCTTCCTCAACTTTAATCTTTTTGGGAAAAAAGAAATAATATAAGTGAGAATAAGCGGGTGAAACTGAATGCACACTGTGGCACCTGGGAATTAGACTTTAGCACGGCGCAGTAAACGCTAAGCACAATCTAGGTGCAATTAAATGCGGAGCAACAGAGACAAACACAAAACAAGTCCGTGATCATGTTGTGGCAATAAAAATGAGGAGGATTTGAACATACAGATCTAATGTCTAATGTCTATTAGAAGAATAGTTCATCTGTAGGCTATGTATCAAACGCGCTGCTCAAAAAGGTTGTTAAAAATTGCTTCGCTCCACTGAAGTGACCATTAAACTGCGTACGGCCTCATCAAAGCGTTGCTATTGGCCACGATTGGAATCAAACGTTACATTCCCTGCTTTCAACTTTACGCATAATCGGTTATGTGTTTTACTCAATGAAAAGAGATGTCTGATCATTAAAATAACTGTTTATTTAGCCACACGCGGCGGCGGGCCTTCTTCGACACGATTCTGCAATTAAAAATCACCCTTAAGAACAATGACCTGCATGGTGAGGAATCGTTTAAAGGAGGAAAAAAGTACCTTGTATCAGTCAATGCGCATTAAGTCAGTTATTGCCCTTATCCGGCACTTCTTATCGAGCCCAGTGTCGCTGCCAGAACGCTCGCTTTGTTTTGCAGACTTTTTTTCTCCCTCCCTGCAATATCTTCATATCAGTGACAACAACAATGCTATCAGCGAGATCTCAGTAATCTCAAGTCTTCTGTGGCTCCCGCGAAAAGGCCTCACACGACATCACAATATAAGATGAGGCGCAGATAGTCGTCTCTTTGTTTGCGGGCCCCTCAGCCGAAGGACCGGAGGAGTTGTTGGTAATCGAGAGACCTGAAAGGAAGGAGTGCAAAAAAAACACGTGCCAAAATCTGTCGCTCTGCCATCCCGGGTGATATTATTGGATGTTGTTCAAAGCGTTGAGCTGAAGCATTCAAGGAAGCTCATTCTATCTGTAAAAACATTCTCCCTCTTTGGAAACGGCATCGATCTGCCTAAAGCAGCGTGCGTCTCGTATCCCTTCACGCCGTCGGCGCCTCTTTAATCCCGGCTCTGCGGGACGCTGGGGACTTTCTCTTTGAGTAAAGGCTGAAATATGATTAGATCAAAACTTGTAATCTTCTGATCTGACCGGCAGTTAGGATGAATTAAACATTCGACTGTGAAAGGTAACCTTCGTTTTATTTGGGGTCCGGCTCGGCTCAAAGCAAACTCTTCTGGGGGTAACGTGACGTTTGCACTGACGCCTCAAAAAGCACGAAAGACTGCTTTGTGAAGTCGGTGTGTCCGTGGCCTGTGATGGCAGTTCAACCTGGACCAGAGCTCCAACTGATTTTATTTGTGAGAAGTTATTGGCGAAAGCTGAAAACTGGGTGACAAAATTGACAATCCCCACGGGCCGTTCAATTACACAGTTTACCAGCTCGCCCCGTCCCGCTTCTTGTCAAGCTGAGCTCGATTGAATCCAAACAATTAGCAAACAAAAGGATATATCATATATTTTGGTATGTCAGCCCCACCTTTGTATTGACACGATAGTAGATTTAGTTTCCCTGCTATACACCAACAGAGCAGATTTTCTGTAGTTACTTGGTGCCCTATTGGGTGTAAGTGACTCATTTAAATTCAGCAGGTTTGTATGATTAGAATGATGGTATGACAAAATATCCAATTTGAATGCTCGAAAAACAGTTTCCATTAAATCCAATAAAATATGTTTTGTTTGAATATGTTAGACACGTGTCAATACATCCTGAAGATGTAATATGGAAACACGCAGAACCTCAATAAACATCAATCCTCCAAAATAGCTGCCAAAAGTATCTGTCCCTGCGCAAATATTTGACTCCAAAGAGGAAATTGCCTGAGGCTCTTGCTCGCTTTGTCCATTTTTCCCCACCTGGAGCCTTCCCTGACCCGAGTCGCCCGTCCGCTCTCCTCTACGTGATTGCGGTGCAGGTGGTGCTGTCGATAAGCCAAAGTCAGGTCTGGCTCATCAGGCAAAAAAAAGCCAGGCAGAGAGAGGGCGCCTTCAGGGACGCCGCGCGGCGAACACCCCTTCCAGCCCACAGGAAAAAGCAACGGCGGGACCATGCGGTGATTTATACATCTGCGGCAGACTGCTTTTCCCCGTGACGCCAGCGAGGAGATACAGCGCGCGGGGGAACATGTCACGCCACGAGGTTGGCTGCTAGAGTCTCGGAGACAATAAGTCACAGTTGGCACATCGATTCATTGGCAACAAGCTGAATAAACGGATGTAGCCACGTAGTATCTTTTAACCGTTTGCCCTCTGTGAGTAATGTTGAATCACTGTGAGTTCTCAGGGGCTTGGAGGATCAGAGTTTCAGTGAGGAATAACATAAATCAATAACACAAGTTGGTAAAGCGACGAGTTCACACAGCCGATGTCACATTTAAGACTCTTAACGTCATCAGGAGCTCCTGCGGCCGCGAGATTCACCCCCTGATCCGCGCTGCATTTGATAGACAGTGTGTATCTTGGGTACGCTGCTGTGTGACAGTGGATTCCTTCCACCACTCACAAAGTAATGATGATTAGAAGCCACGGCGTTTGATTGACAAGTGATCCATGGGTAGTGCAGTGCACAAACACAACAGTGATACGTCAAAAAAGTTATATGATTCAATAAAAAGTTCAAAGAGAAATATTTGTTAGTCCTGCGATACACCCGTCAATATTACCCAGAGTGCAGCACAAACCTCCTAAATGAGCCGGCAGGTTCACTAGTTGACATTCACTTACTGCTCATTTCTATCCAAACACCGTATTTTGAAATGACGACTGTGAATAAACAGCTAGAAGGTTTTAAGAATGACATAGACAGACATGTTATAATCCTAAAAGACTGAGACCTTGTATGTTCAAGGAACAGTGACCACTTTGTCACTATTTTAACATTAAATCATTAGTGCTGACAACCTATGCTTTAATTTTCACTAAATTACATTTTGACATCTCTTATAACCCTAAAATATAATTGTAAAATATCTTAAAATTTTACAAATATATTTCCAACACTTAGAAATTCCATTTTACCGTTTACACCTGTTTACAGATTTATTTCATTTAATTGTAGGTATCACTAATAACTTTTTCACTTCTAAGAACAACGATTTGTAGGATTGTGACTCAAAATGTCACTTCCGCTCTGAGATACCAACAACTGCACTTAAGTAAATTACCAGGTTAAAGCCAGCCACCGTTTAAATGTTACACTTACAATATTGTTTCTGTGTGCAGCTAAAAGAAACAACGTCACACTCAGCATCACATTCTGACTACAAATACATGGATGCATTACTAAACAGGCCTAAGGACACTGCCTGCGGGCACAAAATGGCAGTCTTCACCTCCCAAATGTCACTCAACCAGAGATGTACCAACCAAGAAGACACTCGCAATGACGACGAAGACACCAGGACAACAACAGAGAGACGTACAACAGCTGCAAAGAGAAGCAATGAGACTGAAAAGAGACACCAAGTAACAACAAATGACCATGACAACAAAGAGAGATCATATACACGTTGAAAATAAAAGAAAACTAAAGGAGTAATGAAGAATAGAGTTACTGTCCCCATTATAATCCTTCATAGTTAAGCAGTGAAATACCCCTTCATTTATTAATTTTTCAGCTTTTAGCTTTTCGTAAGCACAATTGTAATAAAAGCTAATTTATAGTCAGCGATGGATTCACAAATCAGTTTGACCCTGATCAATATGCATTAACATCTGGATGAACTGTATTGCAGTAAAAGTGACTCACAGAGTCCGTGGAGCAACTAACCACACGTCCGGTATCCCAGGAAACAGAACCCGTAGTCACACCCAGGATCGGGAGCCCTGTGGTAAATAAAGCCATTTATTAAACACACAGGATGGAAATAATTCCTGACAACAGTATAAGAAGAGGAAGCAGCGCATTCAAGCTGAGATCAAAGCGCGCCAACAACAATGCGTTATGCGGCTCAGCTTTGCTCCTCAGCCCAAGCACCTGCTTGTGTATATTTTCCAGAAAAAGCGCCTCGGGCGGAGATCATTACCACTCCTCCGGAGTAGAGGGGGGGATCGTTAGCCGGCTTCAAGCAAAACACCATGCTGTGGCTCTCTGTGTTTGGGGTCGCACTCCTGTTTGCTTTTGTTCCTTTCAAAGTCTAATGTGCTCTGCTCAAGACATCTATCGGCAACTTTTATCTTTTTCTTCTGTTTGTTTTATAGCTTGTTTAGACGGGGGAGCTGTAAAGTGCTGTAGAAACCATTTCACCGTACTGTACACGCACGTTTGAAACAAAGGGGCTTTCACTGTTTAAGTGCTACACCCTGCTGTTCTCTGCTGTTCTCCGCTTCCGGCTGCGCGTCGGCCCGGATCAGCGCTGCCTGGAGGAGCAGCGAGTAGAGGTGGTGCTTCTTATTAACAATTAACATAATTACTTTATAACGGGGGCCGCTGTGGTGAGCTTTGATCCCTCTTGGTTCAACTTGCTCAGCGATTACTTTTAACATTTTTCTAACAGTGGAATTGTCCGGGGGGAGCAACATATATATATATATATATATATATATATATATATATGCTATATTTCCTCTGGGGATTTTTCAATTTTTCAATTTTAAAAACTGCGAATTAATTAAGGTAATCCTGGGTATCCTTTTTCATATTTAATATTTTGAATTCTTCTTTTTTTGGGCGAATTAAGTGGTTAAAGATCCTGAAGAGTCATATTTCTTCTTCACAATCCCATGTCTTTATCCTATTGTTAGTATGGAGGGCCCTTTAAAACCATTTGCACTTTCTTGTTGTATTTCATGCTTGTCATTGTTAGTTTCCCAAAGCTTTTCTGGAAACGTTTGTGTACTGGAAATGACATGGAAAAAAAGAGACAAATTGCAGTGAAAGTACTTTCTACCGACATTATAACTGAATAGTCAATTAAATATTTTTTGAGATCTGTTCTAGTGAAAAAACATAATGCCATCATTTCTCCCCATTTCAATTTCCTCAATTCAAAGCTACCATTAAGTTCTTTTGAAGGGGATAAAAAAAAAATTGATTAGAAAAAAAAAATGGTTTTGACTCCTGGTGCTGTATTTGTTCTGTAATCACAAATCGCTGAAATGAAAGCACAGAAAGACACAATGAAAAGATATTAAGATTGTATCTTATTGGTAGTGTTTCTTTGGGAGTATTAGAAAAATCCTAAAGATGAGAGCTGCAATTTACTGAAGTTATATAGATTTCAACTTTGATTGGTGCAAAAGAAGTTTACGAAAAATCACCTTTTGATAATTGTAAAAATTCCAGCTTCACTAGAGAAAATGTTCGATGTACTTTCTTGTGAGCTCAATGGGTACGCAGCCTTGTAGGAAAAGGCTCATCTCTGACTGCAGTATCGGATCCAGTGAGCACCTGATGACAAGTGAAACCCACCTGCGGAAATCTACTCTCATTGTGAGAGAGCATGCTGGACCCACCACATGCATTATTCATGCATTCCGCAATATCTTATTGACCTCTGTGAAGGACACTTGGACAGGCATTCGTTTTGCAAAAAATGGCCAATTGCAGCCTCCTAATTGGACGTATGCAAAATGCAGCCGTGGCTTTCAACTCTCACACCGCACACATCCCTGGGAGTGATATGCATGCGCCGAGGAGCCCGGTGATACCGATGATGCCTTCCTGCCGCTGATACCCCCCCCCCCCACCCCGATGTTGTCTTGGTGATCATCGCGCACTCGAGCGTGTGTTGCATTAACCGCCACTTATTAGTACCGTGAAAAACCTTTCCAATTAGCGTGAGAGCACTGAAATGTAGCATTTTGTGCAGCTAAAGATTGTTCACGCTCCCTTTCTTGCTGTTGCTAATGGAGACCATTTAGTGTGCACACAACCTGGTGGAAGCAGCAGATACAAAGTAGGTGCTCCCTCCTGAACACTTGATCCGAGACTAATCACAGACCATGGACTCATCCGAGTCCCATTTATCCAGTCGAATGCCCACTACGTCCCTGAAACATGCATCCTCACAAAAACACCACCGTGTAGAACAGCGGTCGGGAGTGCATGCGCGAGCGTGACACTTTTAAATAGAAAGCGTAGAGTGCACTGATTGGATGAATGAGAGAAAAGATATCGTTTTCTCAGAAAATGTAATGTTAGACAAGCTGAGTAATTGATATACAAATTGTCATTTTGTGGATGAGGAATTCCAGTCAGTTATGTTCCCCTCCGCTAAATAAGAAATCTACGTACGTGACAAAAATTCCTATTAACCTCTCATTGACTTCATAGCAGTTTTTTTCAGATTTTACATCCCCAGCAATTAGACTGATGTCATTGTTGCTTAATTTGTGTCTCCAGCCGCCTGGACGGAGTTGTGTTCGACTGTGGCTGCGACATCCGCTGGATCCAGCTGTGGCAGCAGAGAGGGGAGGCCGGGCTGCACACGCAGCAGCTGTACTGCAGGAACGGAGCCTCCAAGATACGACTGCACAACATGTACATCCACAACTGCGGTGAGTGGAGGGAGAGGGAGGGGAGGTGCAAACGAGGGAAGGGGTGAGGAGGAGGAGGGGGGGGGGGGTGAAAGAGAGGATGGCTGGCTGAGGGAGCCAGTAAAAGGCGGAGGAAGGAAGGAAGGAAGGAAGGGGTTAAAGGTGAACCGGAGGAAAGAGACGAGGAGTGGGGAGACTGGTGGAGGAGGGGAGGAGGTGTGACAGAGTTCAGAGGGTGAATCTGATGTGAGGAGCTGTGCGTCGATTCTGACAGAAGCTTTAGACTCTGCAGTATTATCTGCTGGTGGTGACTCATCTCTGTGACATCTACTATGCGTGGGTGTGTGTGTGTGTCTCCTTGTGCCTTCGTGCTCATTTTGTAACATTAATGAAAAGTGATTTATTTGTTTTGTGTGCAAATACAGAACCAGTCAAATGTTTGGACATATTTTATTTCGTTTAATTCAATGAGAAAATGAAACATCTGAGCGGTACTTTATATAGACACAGGCATTGACAGGTGTTGTTAGGGATTTAGGTAGAAAAGCACGACTAGTGGTAAAATAATAGTGTTTGTGGGTGTGTGTGTTATTAGATATTGTACTAATTTCTGTATTATGAGCAAAACATATTGTGTAACTTATAAGTCATTCGATACTGTACACATGATGTCCATACTGTTCATCCTGGGGGAGGATTTCTTCTTCTTCCTTCCTTGTTTTATCCCCATAAAAGGGGTTTTGAGGGAGTTTTTCTTCTTCGTCAGGTCTGAGTTTGGTAACAAATGATGTTGATGAAAATACATATTATTAGATTATTAGAGGATGATATAGAGAATGCCATATTATGTTTACCTGAAGAAGCTTTAGGTGTAATTATTGATGTGATATTGATGAGGTTAGGGTCTGGTTAGGTGAGCGGGGGATTCGAGGTTGGCTCACACAGCGTGGGCGTGGACGAACGGCGAATGTGACCAAACTGGGCGGAGCTACTGTGGCCGTGCAGCCAATCGCTTATGGCATTAAAATAATGGAAACATCTCGCCAAATGCAAAAACGCAGAGCTGAGTGGAGCAAATCTTTGGAAACGCATACTTTTAAGTTGGATCAGACAGGGAAAGGAAGATCCTCTATTTCGTAAACTATGCACACGGTCATTCACTTTGTAACTGTACTCGCTCCTGTTAGTTATTAAATCCTTTTTGATTTTTAAACTCAAGCCAGGCTGAGCCTTGTTCAGGAGAGTTCGACCCCCACACTGCGTATTAATATGAGCATGTGTGTGTGTTTCCAGATTTACCAGAGATCAGTGTGAGCCACAGCAGCGTGTTGGTGATGGAGGGCGACAACGTGACGGTGAGCTGCAATGGTTCTGGATCACCGCTTCCTGAGGTCGACTGGACCGTCGCCGGCCTGAACTCCATAAACACGCACCTGGTCAGCCAACACACACACACACACACACACACGTGAATGTTCAGTAATGTTTTCATGACTTTGCACCTTTACACAGTAAAACAATACAACAATACAGTGACAGCAAGCAGATTCATCTGCTAGTCCATGTCGATGCGTTTTTGGGAATCACACTTTAACACTAAATTGCTTCCCTAGGCTGCTCCTAGTGGGAATGAATGTTTCGATGGGTCCCGATGCCACCAGTGTATGAATGGGTGAATAATGACAACCGGTGTTAAAGTGCTTTGAGTAGACAGAAGACTAGAAAAGTGCTATACAAGCACAGTCTATTCACCATTCACAGAACTGCAGATCATTTGTTTGCATTGACATGAGACGCAGCAGGCACTCGGGCAACAGACTCCACATTCCCATTATTCATGCATTCAGTTATAGTAAGTAAATCCAATAACATTAGAGTGATGAAGTTTACACTGTTGGTGAGGTTCTTGCAAATACTATAATTACGACAATAAGAATGGAGATGAGCAGCTAGGAGACTAGAATCCCTCACACACGGTCGGTAACCGTCTCTCCTTTCTGTCTGTCTCTCCTCATCGTTCCCCAGTCCAATGTGTACTGGCCCAACGTCCACTCCATCAACCTGACGCTGTTCAACATCAGCCGAGATGACAACAACTTCCAGCTGACCTGCATCGCTGAGAACGTGGTGGGGATGACCAACTCCTCCATCCAGCTGAACGTACAATGTGAGTAGGGTTTTATTCTGTGATTCAATCCAGGGAAACTCTGGTTCTGTACTGCAGACGTAACACAATGGAGAGTGAAACACACCTTTCATTTGTACACCCGAGGTTCTCTTTATAGATTACCTGCTCGTGATTTTCCTACCTCATTGCTGAAATTAATATATTATTAAAGGACCCTCAAGGCGTTAAATTATTTCATAGAAATGAACAAAATTGTTTTTCAGAATTTATACTATACGCTGTGTCAAGTAAAGGTAGGTTTTTTAACATAAAATACATGCTTAATACATGATACATAATATTAACTTTTTGGACTAATAATAGTTTTACGGTTTTATATATTTAGGGTGTCACATTGTATTTGCGGAAGTAAGAATTGCTTAACAAACATTGGTAGAGTTGACTTTGGCTTATTTTAGGTTCATAGCCATGCTAGCATCTCTGTGTGGCTGTTTTGAGTTGTGTTTGTTACAGCGGTGCTGTGAGCTGAAGGCTTGAACATTTTATAATATGCTTACCAGCGACATCATGAATAGTAAGTTGATTGATTGAGTTTAAAAGACACTACACTTTTGACTGATCATAAAGGGAAAAGACACCACTGGTTTTTAGTTAAACTGGACAAAACCTGCCAAGTCAAGTGAAAGAAAGATCTAGAATAGAGAAGGTGCAGTGAGAACTGTCGAGTTCCTTTTGCATAAGATTGGCAGTCTTTCTTGGCAGTTTTGATTTAATCCTGTATTAAATAAGACTCGCCGTCTGAGAGAATAATGTACAACACAGAGAGACAACCTCTGCTTAAACAAGCACAACAGCCAAGTTATGCAGGGGGAATATAGAATTGCAATTAGGTGTTGTAGTTACAATCTGAAAGGAATTTATATAACCAATTAGCAAGAACATGCCCTCCAGGCCACATAACTCAGCCTTGATCGTTTCAGAAAGATGAACTAAACATGAAAGATGCCCTCAGCAATGATAAAACACAAATGTTATAACCATCATGATGTTCCTCTTATATCCAGACCATGAATTACACTATATATGTCAGCTATTAGATAACTTCACCCTGCGTATCGGCCCGGGGCAGAATCGGGACAGACTGTATTCAAAGGCAGTATTTATTAAAGGTGTCTGACATTTTTCTTTTTTGTAGCGAGCCCGCTGTCATAGCGCTAGTCTATTGTGGCTGTTTGCAATGCATCACGCTACAGGACAGGGGAGATTTGTCACCAATTCAAACACTCCGTGCCGAAGCAGAGCGGCTGAGAGCCGTGCTGGAATGACAGATTTTGCAGACATCTATTCCTCGGGGCTCCACACGGACACTGTATGGATGTACATCTCCAGGCATTCTTTTTTTCTTTCCTTTTTTGTTGACAGTCTCTGCTGGTGCTGCAAATTAACTTATTAATGTTTCACCGCATGCTCTGATGGTAATTACATTTCCTCCCCTGCACAGCCTATTGTCTCTGGAAATGTCATAAAATAGCTTAAACTGCCGCTCTGATTAGGGAGTAATCTGATTGACAGGGAAATTACCAGCCGTCAAGTGACATTCTCTGCATTCAAAGATGATTTTTTTTTTTGAGCAGGGGGAGAAACTGTGATTAACGACAATGCAAAAGCTGCCAGTCATTGTTCTGCATGGACCAATAGCAGCTCTACAGCATTGTGTACTCACACAACCTGCCAAGTTCTTCCTTTAGTCCTCTATAGGATTATCTCTCTTTTAACAATAAGGAATCAACACCTGTTCAGTTTCCATGTCTTATCCCTGAGTGGCTCTATAGGCGTCCATAGGCATTACGTCTTATAATAAACGATATTCAGATTGAATCCCTCAAGACACGAGTACCTCTGTGCTGCTCCTTACAGGTGTAAACCTCCACCGCTGTGCGGTACAACACAGTGAAAAGAAAACTGCGGTCATGATATCCTGTTCAGCTGGAGCGTTGCATTTGTTGCTGCTAGATAGCTCCACGCAACTAGCTTTCACGTTCGCTGTGTTCACGGATCAAAAGCATGTCGTTATCAACACCTGTCATCTGTGTGAGCGCCACCAGGGCAGCATGTTGTTACGGGCCGCTGTTGAGCGCCGTAATGGCTTTTATTGTATTGACTGAGACCGGGGTCACAGCCACACTGAGAGGAAAATAGATCGGCCCCTAACTGTCCATCAACAGAAGAATTTCCTCTTTTTTCTCTCTCTCTCTCTCTCTCTCTCTCTCTCTGTGTCTCTCTCTCTCTCTCTCTGCCGTTATGCTGCACAGTTATGTGCTGCCCTCACTGCATGCCCATCTTTCTCCCTCCTCCCTCCACATTTTTTCTCCTTCTTTCTCAAGTGCTCCAAATCACAGCTTTGCACACACACACACACACACACACACACACACACACACACACACTCTTGCCTTAGCCAATTGAATGACTTTATTGTCACTATTGTCTAGCAGGAACAATATCGCCAAAGCAGTTTAGGAAATGACAGCTTTCAAATGCCGATGAAAGCGTTATTCATCTTTTTACTGGGTAATTATTTGGTTTGAAAACATGAGCTATCCAATGGGACACGCCATTCAATAACCAGGGCTGCAATTGAAAAGTCACTTTTATTAATAATTTAATTGACAATCATTTTTAAATGAGTCAATCACTGTCTATCACTGTGTTCATGTACAACCCTGTGCTTATTGTTTACCATTAGGGAGGTGATTGTGCTCTAAAAGAAGTAGTTTGTGTGACAATTGTCCGGCCACATTAAAAAAAAAGTACCAGCTCCCCACTCTGGAACGGACAAACCTCCTGGGCTGGATTCATAACTGGTCAAAATGGGCCCAAAATGCCCAAACACAGGGGCGTGGCCACGTGGTGGCCAGGGGGGGCCACGGCCACCATTGGTCAGAGAATGGCCACCCTGCCGCCCCCCCCAACCTCACGGCACGGCAAAAAAATAAGTAAATACAAAAAACCCCTTCTGAACAGTAACGGTATAAAGCTGAAATAAATGCATTAGTATTGTTTTCATCACTGTTTTTTTTGTCACTTATGCTACAAGCCCCATATTCGCCTCATGTTGGGCCACGCCCCCATCAACATTCAGCGCTTCAATGGAGACTAGCAGCTAACCACTGGAATCCAGTGACAATCAAGTGCCACCCCAGATAAAAGACTGGCCAGAGCTGCCCCCCACCCCAGAAATACTGTCCTGGCGACGCCCCTGCCCAAACAGCATCATGTTCAATGGGGGGTCGATGGGTGACCGTATACTAACTGTCTATGTGCATGTCTACAGCACGAGATATCGCTTCGTTTATCACATGGATTGCCATTAAACTTTATACATACATTCACCATATGCTCAACCAAGGATCTAATGGCGGACGGCCTTTCATTCACCGCCACCGACATCACAAAGTTTTCACTTATTCAGCAAAATATTGCACCATCTGCCAGATGAGCTGGTGCCAAATTTTTGACCCGCATAGAAAACTTGTGCCAAAGTAGCACTGATTGGATGTCCAGGGAAACAAAGAAGCTGCTATATAATCGGCGTTGTTGAGTCCATTGTTCTCGCAGTAGTGGGCACTTGGTGGCGTGCTGGGTACATACACAGTGTGCAAAGGGTCATAGGTTATGGGGGGGGGGATGTGGGGGCCCTGCGGCCTCTAAACATGTCGATTTGGCCTCACAGGTTCCCCATTGGGTGCTTGTAATCATCATATATTTGGTGTTTTGAATTAATACATTACAAATATCACCCTAATTTCTTGATTTAAATTAGAATCTGAAATGTGGTACAGTTCCTTTGTGCAGTGATACTGCAGGTGGGGATTCATCGGCGATGCTGGCGGGTCGTCTGAATGACGCATGAACACATCAAAAAATATCTAGCAACTGTAAATAGGTTTGCCAACACACGCCTATAGAAACAGCTTGCAGTGAAGCGCAACAAGAGTACAAAGCTATGGCATAATATAATGTGTGCGAGCAATGGAGTTGTGGGGTAATGTTGGTGGGAAGGGGGGGTGTCTGCTATGTTAGAACAGACACGTAGAGACTGCCAAGTACTTCCTTTTGATAATGTAGCTGCTAGAGTGACTCGTTGCAAAGACAAATCAATGTATAAATTGTGTATGTAATATATCTGATGGTATTTAAGTGATAAATTGCCTCACAGCTTGCTGCCATTGTGGCATCTGAGGTGTGTTGCTGCATGACATGGAAGAGAGGCTTTATGCGGCGTTGATTCCTCTGTCTGCCTCAGGCAAGCGCAGCCCCTCCAGTTGTTTGTTTCTCTCCACCGCTGTATCCTGCTGCAATATGTAACACAGTAAGAGGTTTATTGCCTCTCCCAGGCCAATGATCTGTAGCCTAAATGTCATAGTTCAGAGAACAAATCCAAACAGCATTGTTTTATTTTGGGGGGTTCTTCGAAGATCAGCACGATGTTTTTGGTGCTCCGTCAATTCAAGTCATATACAAATGAATCAGACTTGAGGGCTTTCAAGGAATAGCTCATTCTGAAGTATCTTTTTGTCTAAATCTGTGACCTAAAGTCATGGTTTGTTTTTCTTCCTCACTGCAGTTCCTCCGATCATCCTGAGACTGGCTGAGCCCGAGCAGCGACACGATACCTGCATTGAGTTCACGGTTAGAGGCTACCCGCATCCCAAGCTGCGCTGGTTCTACAAGCAAAAGGAGATCCTCCAGAACAACTACATCCGGACCGAGATGGACTTCTATCAGGACTACCTGGAGGGCTGCCTGACCTTCCAGAACCCAACGCACATCAACAACGGCAACTACACCCTCGAGGCCAGCAACCCTTTAGGAACGGTCGCCAAGACGGTGTACGGTCACTTCCTCGTGGCGCCGGACATGGAAGGTGAGTGGATCATTCCCGCGAGGCAGCCACTCTTCCCGCTGTTGGCTGATGAGCTACGCACTGGTGGCATCTGCCAGCAGCAATTTCCTCATAATCACAATTGAGAGTGTACTCGTGCAAAGGGTTATTAATACATTTGTATGGCCTACTCATGGATTGGATTTAGAATAAAAGCACAGGAGCAACAAAGAAATTCTGCCAAGTAACTCTTCCTCCGACAGCGAGAAATGGCCCACTTTTCGGAAATGGACGTTACCATTTAGAACAAGTATTTTACTGGTTGAATGTCTTGTTTGGACTACCTGTACGAATGAACTACAGGAACTACTGGGAGATTTTAGTTGTTATTAAAATGTCCCTGGGTAGGCTGTAGGTCTGTGGAGCTGGATCCCAGCCAGGGTTCATGCACAGTTCAGTCAGGTACATCGTTCGCCTGCAGTTCTCTGTTCACAGTGAAGGGGAATGAAGCCACAGAGCGGCAAGTTTCCTCCCCATGGTCAATATTCCAAGGTTAATACCGCGTGTCAATTTATTGACACAGTGTGACTTTCTCTGTCTTTTCTTTTGCAGACATAGTGGAAATTGGTGAGTGTTTGTACTTTCACATTTAACCCTGCAGTTTATTTGGTTTTCTTTGTTTTACTACTTGTTTGTCTGGCATCAATATGCACACACCGACACAAACACACACAGAAACACCTCAATTAATGTCGAATCGTCACGGTTAAGCTAGTATCTGTGGGTGAATTTGTTGAGTTTGTGTTGCATTTAATAAAAACCTGTTAAGCACTGGAATAATACACCTCCACGAAGGCTTTACTAGCAGCATCCATGCAGCACGATATGCCCATTGACGCTCGCACAAGGGCATCTCAAGTTGTTGAGTCATTCGGCTCCCATGCTTGGATCGCCCCCGACTGCCAAAAGATTTAAACTGCTTGCAGGTTGTTTGAGGTCTTTAAAGCGCAGCAGAAGCCACTCAGTGGCGTGTGGTTCTGTGTCTTTTTTTTTTTGGTGGGGGAGAGATGATGCTCCAGTGGGCTCCACGTGCCCTCACAGTGAGGTGACCCGTGCTGCCACAGTCCACTACTGCTGGTTGGTATGCAACGCATCTACCCGAGCAGCTGGGCTGTGATGTCTTGCTCAACCGTTTGCTGAGCGAACTCACAGTTGCGACCTGTTGATGGTAAATTTACCAGCCTGCTTTTTCATAATGGCGGTAAACCAATACATTGCATGTCACATGGCAATAAACCCTGGCAATGCTCTATTATATAGACTCTACTGGGGTTACATATCACACAAAAATCCATGTTGTCAGGCTTGAAGTAATGCTTTTGTACGCGGTAAGAGAGGGCACGGACAAGTCAGTGTCCTGCAGCTACGGGATCAACCATGTGAATGTATCATGACATCAGTTACGTCATGAGTGGAGAGAGTCTCTTCACTGAAAGAAGAACAAAGAACGGCACCAATGTCTTTTCTCAATGTTTTCACTCTTCTTCTGACTGACTTTGGAAAAACGTCTGATTGATTAATGGTTTATCCGATCACCTGCAAAGGAAAGGGCATCCACACATAGCAGGCAACCGGTCCAATTTGGCTGCAGAAACCGACAACGAGACAAGGGACACACATGGACACTGGGACGGTGAGGTGATTGGACACAAGTGTGCCTCAATGAGTTGGTTCGCGATCAAACAAACACAGGACCTTCAACCAGGGTTCTGGTCTTTGAGACAGGAGTTATTTTGAAGCAACAGTGCTGTGAAGTCCAACTATGATCACCTTCCCGAACCCAAGTGGTTTTACTTGAATCGGCAATGTTAACCCAGTGCTTACTAAGACCGAGTCACCGGGTGCGTTCAAGTCTCAGCATGTGACGAGCTGGATTGAGCAATTCAAAATCCCCCAAACACGAAAAAGAGAACAACAAAGCCACTAACAGTTACTTAAATTCTGAAACGGTAGGGTGCAGGACCACTCAAAATATTGCAGGATGAAATGGTGCTTGAACCTAGAAGCAATGCTGGGTATTGGAGTAGATAATAGTAGCACTCACCGCAGCCCCGTTACCACTGCTTGGAGAATTTTAGAGTCAGGCTTAGTATGAAGTAGCATTCGCGTGGTGGAAAACCCAGCCATCGGTTATTCTCTTTAGAGGGACTTGCATCAGCAACTCAACGAGCGTTTCGATTCCTCCCCATCCCCTAACAAAGCAGCCACGGTGTAAACGAGCTGGTTGCCTGTGAAGCGGCCGGCGCAGCCGTGTAGCGATGCTTTGGAGAGCTCTCGCACGGCATCGTGAATCTCCCGTCTGTGATGTGTGGTTTGGCCTCAGGCTGTTGTGGCTGATGACAGCTTAGACCACGCGGGCCGGTCTGATCTCTGACCCTTCTCCCGTCTCCACGTGAAGGGCCATTCTTTCTAATCAGCCATGGATTATGAAGCGGCGTAGGCTGGCGTCGGAAAAAAACGGATGTGCGCAGACGAGCTGCATTGGGGCAAGCCGGGACTTCAAAGGGCCACACACATGCACACATGCACACACAGCGAGGCAGGTGAGGGAGAGACGTTTGGGCGATAGGAGTGAGAAACATTAAAGCAGCGGTGTGTGAGGGAGCTCAGCAGTAGAGCAGACAGTGACAGGCCGGCTGATAGTAGTGCTGCTGAGGAGAGAGGAGTGCGAGGGGAGGAGATGAAGGCTGGCGAGGAGGGATGTAAAGATGGTGGTTAGGGCACTCGCTCACACACTCTGACGCAGAGCAATGCACTTTACTGTTATGGGTGCGTCTGAGCCAGTGGCAGCCAGTCTACCATGCGGCCATTAATTTGCCCACAATTACTCTCTGATGTCCTGGCTGGAGGCCTGGGACTGGAGTTTCTCTGACACCGGTTCATTTTGTTTCGGTCTCTGTCCTCGTCTCCAGACGCTTCCCAGAACTCTTCCGTTTGCCAAAACTCTCGTTTGTAGAATTGCGCCAGGTAGCATTTCCAAATCTTCAGGATCAATATGAGAGACTAATACAAAGTCTTTGGAATGAGTCCAGCAGGATCAAGTTTAGTCGGGAAATGTGTGCTAGACTTTACGTTTGCGTGGTGTATTTGTTAGCTAATTTAATTGGACTTAATTTAACCTTTGTTACTCCTTTATTCATAACTTCCTTTCCGTTTTTATGCTCGTTTATTTGTGTATACTGTCTTTGTGTACAAGCATGAGCATGCAGTGGTGCAAAACAACAATGTCAAAAATCACAATGTCTTTTCTGTTTGCCTCACATGAGGCTTTAGAGGGTCTGACTAAAACTGTGTATGAAATGTCAGGCTTTGATAGGTGCCTTCTACGAAATAGATACACAGAACAGAAATGCCACGACCACTTTCTCTGCCGCCGATATGATGTGAAATGACCCATTTTGTCAGTTACCAATTGTTTTTTGTTGGATTTTTGTTACTGCAGCTGGTATGCAAGGCTCAAGACTTACTGTATATAAACCCCGAAACATTTGAAATCTTTTATTTTCAGTTTTTTTATGGTGGTTTAACGTATATTACTGCATTTATATTTGAATATTTCATTTGATAAAATAATTATATGGTTCTTCTAACTATGTATTGCTCTGCAAACACAACCTGTAATTAACCATCATCCAATACCCATTTTAACAGAACGGAACCTCAACTTAATCACAATGTAACTCAATTAAATCTCTTGACAATAGCTGCTGGCTCAGCTGTATAACAGCTAGCTGCTACGTCAATTCACCGCCTAATATGCATTCAATAATTTTGTGGGAAAGTGCTCTAATTTTCATGTCTTGAATGAGGCAAACACAAAATAATACTTTCATCTGCAAAAGAGAGCTATTAAAACATTTATAGAACCGTTTTAACTTCTAACTATCCTAAAAATATGTAGTGAATAATAGACGTTAGAGAGCAAAAAAGGTTGTCTCATTCTGACCCGTTCTGCTTTCCTATAAGTATCTTATTTATTGTGATGTAGGTGCATCAACACTTTCCTACAGTGGATGTTGCACAGAAACCACTTCTGACCCCAGTGCATTCACTGCGCATGCTGCCATAACAAATCACACAAACGTGGGGAACTGAGTTCACTGTGCATTGTTTTCTGAGTGTGTGCCAGTAAACCGCAGCCATTAAAAGGTTCATTCTCAGCCACTGACGCCTGTTCGGCGTGTTTCTGTGTTTCAGTTACTTCCACACCGTCAGATGGTGATGTGGGCCGACCAGATGAAGACACTTTTGGGGTGAGTTTTCTCCCTAATGATGTTGATGAAACAGCTGCTAAAGACGTTGCCCCTGGACTCTGCAGAGCGGCTCCTTGTCTGAACACAAATCGTGACTGCTTTTGTCAGAGGACCCTCCGAGGGGGGTTTGTTCTGTGTGTTTACATGCAGCGCTGCGCCTCACAGTCCACAACACAAAAAACAATGTCAAAGTGTTTTTTTCAGCGCTGTATGTTTAGACCATAATGATGATGTATTCTGTGGAGTTTTTCTTTTTAAATCAGCACGGGTGAGTTATTCCTCCGTTGTCCGGTAGCAAAGGGGGAACAATGTCACCGCCAATGGCTGCTTCCTCCTGTAAACTACTTGGCTGGATGGATTAGGAGCTGAAGCTTACACAGTTTTAAAGGAAATTCCATACACTTTTGCTTATGTTATTTTGGTGTGGAAGGGTATTTTCTACACCCACCCATGCTCACCGCTTCCATGCCATAGATTGTGACTCGTAGCAGTAAAAGCAAGTTAATCTAATTCCATTAATGATTGTTCATTGTGGATTAATTTACTATTTGATTAGAAAACCGTTTTTTTTACCATCACCAAGACGTTAAATATGAGGAAATAAAATCCTTTTGGTGATGATGCACTGAAAAAAGTATGTTTATCAGTTATTGACGGGCATTTCTCACGTGTATGACTTTTGATCAGAGTAATTTGTTGTAATAATGACAACTTTAAGGTAGCTGCTGCATCTCCATATTCAAACTGCTCTAAGAGTTTGAAATTCTACCAACTGGAATCACAGCCAACTATGGACTTTTTCATCTGGTGGATTAAACTGATTTACCCTGTTCAAGGTGATGAGAAATCTGGACCGGATTACAGTCTGACGCAGCGTTTTTTTCCTTCCTCCCAGGTTTCCATCGCCGTGGGTTTGGCGGGCTTCGCTTGCGTCCTCCTCCTCGTCATTTTTGTTCTCATCAACAAATACGGCCGGCGCTCCAAATTCGGTATGAAAGGTAAGTCTCCACAAGTAGACAGGCAGGCAGATAGCTCTGTTTCTTCGGCCTTTCTGCCAGTTGCATCATTGTGCAGGAAACCCGTTCCTCCGGCTAATCGCCTCACTTCAAAACCTCAACGCATCAGAAACTGTACGTATACAGCAACCAGTCTGTACTTTTACTGCACTTTAGCCACATCCCCAGGACTGGTTTTGAAGAAAAAAAGAACTTGGATGGGACTATGAATTGCCGATTGTTGCAGGAGTTTTGTCGAGCTGCATGCAAGCGCCCATCCTCATACCCACATACAGACAGCTGGACCATTTCCAAAAGACAGCTCGCATGTGAACGGACCCTTGCGCTGTACATACGCCTCACGCGTTCAACCTGTCTGCTCCGCAGAGCGATCGAAGAAGGAATCCTGGATTAACTAGCGGACCCAGCAGTGTCGATCACGCTGAGGAATGCATGGGGATTAACATGGCTTTTTTTGTGCACGCTGAGCTTTCATTTTGTGTCAGCTCCGGGTTTTGCTCGTTTCTCCGGCGTTTGACGCAATGATCTAAGAGCGGGTAGAGCGGAGAGGGGGGAGCGCGGGGGGGGGGACGTGACCTCAGGTCCTGTGGTTCGGTCTCAAGTGTTTGCTCGCAGGTCTACAGCTCTTATCAGTCGGCAGGCCGAGTGGCGTCGTTTGCCCGTGCGCAAATGGGAGTGAGTTTGTGGGTCACCCATGCAACACACACCCCTGTGCATGGATTCCAGTTTATGACCCTGTCCGTACAAGTTTCTTCTGGTTCTGTTTACATCCACTCACTGCTCCTTCCTGTCGACTCATAGCGTCACTTTTATCCCTCTTCATTCCAACGGCACGCCGCCGTGACCTCAACGCCTCAAACCATGCGCGTTCAAGCATTGTGTAAAGTAACCTCAGCTGCTGCTGCTGCTGCTGCTGCCACCCCGTAATTACCTACTTTACAGGATTAAAGTTTGTTACGTACCTCGGCAAAGAACTCTCCGCTGTAATTATTTAGGCGTTGGCAATTATTGCATTGGCCCTAAAGCTGGCTCTAATCAAGGATGAGCCCTAAACAGTAGTTAATGAGGCTTCACAGACGTGTTTGTAATGTCATAACAAGTCACATTAATATAAGCTTTGGTGACATACTGGTTTGACGATGATATCCACCTATAACCATGTGAAAGCCATGGAGAACTTAACCAACCATGAAGCCGCATTGCAGTGCTGCCTTATTTTTACACTTGCCTTTGGCTGAATGGAGGCGCTGCCACGCTGTCACGTTCCCGACATCGTATAAAAAGTAGCGTGTTTTTAATGCTCAGCATTTTTAGATTTTCTCCAAAAGGTGTGCTTGCACTGCGGTCCAAGCTGGAGCGATGAGGAGCGGAATTTATCTCCTTGATTGCAACGTCCAAACGTCCTGCAGTGCTTTGGACACCGCAGGGCAAAAATTGCATTGGCAATCTCGCCGAGCGCAATGCGGCGCAAACAACACTAGCTACTTTGTACAGTTTTTTTTGGGATTGCCTTCTTTGCCCTGGGGCACCTCAACATTTTCTGTATATTTTTTTAACTGGTCACATTCTTTCCCAAGAATTTGTTCTCAGCTGCCTTGAAGGTAACGACTATTTTGTATGAATTGCTGTGATGGTGCTCCACGTTTTAAAGTAAGATCAGGGTTTTGTGCAGCATGTACTGCAGCATAGGATGCCTGTGCCCTGGTAGACTATAATATCTTCAGCTTCATGTCGTCATGTTCAAAAGTGTTAAATTCTGAGCAGCTATTAGCTGCCAACAACTGTCTTTAACCAACATTTTTGTCACATACCCCCAACATTTCCCATGTCCTGCTCAATACACTTATTTGCTGCTATATTAATGCTCTAAATATCGTGTGGACAACCTTTAACCAATCAAACACATCAATATCAGGGCCAATAGTCTCTCTTTTCCTCCTTTAGTTGCAGTATTTTGTATCTCGAGACGGAGGTTGCTATACAAACGCCTCTTCAGTCTAAATAGAGACGCTGCACTCTCCACCGTGTCTGTGAGAGATTGAAGGTATAAAGGACTTAAAGAGAGGTGATGTCAGTGTGAACTCTTTCAGGACCTCCTGCCGTGCGATACAAGAGCCTGATTTGTCCAGTGTGTGTGTGTGTGTGTGTGTGTGTGTTTTCCCCTCCCACTCTTGTTCTGGAGAATCAGCTGGAAGGCCTGAAGAAGTCATTACCTTTGGTTGGAGCTATAATGGATTTTCGCTCCACTAAATCACTGTGGCTCTTTTGGCTGTTTGAGTTTGATCACAGACCGTTTCTGAGCATCCAATAAAAACTCGTTTTTTCTTTTTTTTCTTTTTTCTTTTATGTGGCTGGAGGTTTGTGTGTGTGTGTGTGTGAGCTACATTCAATTGATTTGCTAGCACTTCAAGGCTCGCCGCCAGGTCCGTCCCTTGGTTCTTTCACATTTACCGCTCTGACTGATATAGTCCCGCTCCGTTTATGTGGTTGTAATTATGCTTTTATGAAAGGTGCTTCATCTGTCTGCATGTGTTTGCATGTGCACATGAAAATGGAGGCGCGCTGTAGATAACCTGTTGCACTGATCGATATGTTTTCAACTCGCCTCGTCTAAGCAGCCGGTTTGTATTTTACAGGGAATCACACAAGTGGGTTTGCAGGGTCTTTCACACAGATTTTTGTCAAGAGGGAGTCAATAAGACTTCTTTATAGAAAGACACTCAGCATGTCAGCAATGTGTCCCACGCTCCCCTGTCATTTTGTATTATGTTCTTGTGAAAAATGACCCCACCGCTGCTGCTGTAAGTGCAGCCAATATGCAACTAGATGTATATCATTGTGTCACCTGTGCAATCTCCGAAAGATAATCTCATCCAAAAAGTAGGAGAGGTGAGAGATGTGTGCTGAGAACCATTCGCTGCTCCTAAGTGAGGCCAGTAGGCCTCATTTTTAAAACTATTACTGAAAAAACTGATATTATAGTAATTCCTAGCATTTCTCTAGTGCAGATTCACACATTTAACAAACTAGTAAAAAAAGCCAATAATATTTGAAGAAAAAAAAACCTGACTGATAGTCATTTGACTTTTCTGTTGAATACTTTTTGTCAGTGTAATAACACATTAACACAGTATCCCTGATATGAATTGTGGAAATGTAACCATTTTGAACTCATTTTGAGGATCCAAATAGGGCTCGGGAATGAATGCTGTTGGCACCTGCTGTGTGTTTCGATGAGGGGCAGATGAGGCTGGCGCTGTTTTTAGCTACGTGTCACTGAAGAGTTTAGGCTGAAAATATACAGTGAATAAACAAAAGGCAGCAGAGGCGGCACGTCAGGAGAGAGTGACGGATGACAGACGAAACATCTTTGATTGGCAAAGATGCAATATGCTTTTCTGAAGCAAATACTTTATAATCTTTTTATAGCACTTCGATACAGTCAAAGTTACACATAGGTGCATATAGATGTGGAATCAGCACATTTAGTAGTTCATCACATTGAACAGGAATAGGATTGAAATACTACTGATGTTTTGATAGTTTGCATGCCGTGTCACTTTCAGACAGAGCCAGGCTAGCGGTTAACAGACTTTATGCTAAGCTAAGCTAACTAGCCTCCTGAGTCCTGTTCACATATTTACTCATGGCGAGGACGCAACAAAGCAAACTCAAGCGATTGGGTATCTGTGACATTATAAGCCACGACCTGCTGCATTAAAGAGGTTAACAATTTATCAGTAACTAAACTTCCAAGATTTGTTACCATGTTTCTGGTGCACTATTTATTATTTAGGACATTTATAGTTATGTATTTATTTTTTTTAACGTTACAAGTATGTCAAGTTTGCATTACACACAATTATAATTACACCATTATTTTGCCTTATACACAAAATATTGATCCCAGTCACTTGATCCCACAACACAGTGAGGTATTGAGTGTGAATGAACCACTGGTCCCTAATCAGCACTCTGTATTGGCCGACCTCTAGGTATCGCTAGCGGGATCGAGACTGACAAAAGTTGGTGCATCCCCCGTGCAGAATGCCTGAAAGAAACTCGGCCGTAGTCTTCAACGCTTTTATTTAGTACAACGGTCCGGAAACTGCTGACCGAGGCAGATGGGAATGAATGCTGAGACACCAAGAAGTCGGGGTGAGGTGAAGCAGAGTTAGGGGGCCCAGAGGACACCTGTGAGTCAAGGTGAGCCGACTCTGTTGTCAATGAACCCCATCGAGCCCATTTGGCCAACGCTGTAGCTGCGTGTGCTCCGTGCAGCGCATTCGGAGAGGGCAAACTTCTCCACAGTTTAACTTTTTAAGACATGCAGATAGACATGTAGGGAAATCTGTGGGATGACTGGAGCCTACTGACGCACACACACACACACACACACACACCTGCTCCACTCACTCTCACACACAATCCGTACCCTGCGGCGTCCTGCTAGTCTCTGTGATCCAGGCGTGTGTGTCAAGGCAGCTTACCCTCCTCTCCGCTACATTACCTGAAGCAGGCTTGGGGATGATAAGGCCCCCGCACACACACACACACACACATTGCAGCATTTACCGCATCACTGCCTCGCTTGGCCTCCAGTGGCCAGAGTGAGCTCTGCCCCTTAAGTGGCCAGACTTGTCCGTCCACAGACAGACGGCCAGACTGCTGCTCTGCGTTTGGAGGAAGGTCAAGCAGACAGTCAGCCAGGAATCGTTCAGTCGAGTGTGATGTACAAAGGCCGTTTGACACAATAAGTCATAAATGCAATCGAGTGCTGGAAAGTTACACTACGCAGGTACAGTACAATTTACAAGGTAATATTTATTATTTATGTTTATTTTATACTGCTTCGACTTTGCTTACTTTCTTGTGCTTTTCATTCCACTAGATTCATCTGACACCAATTAAAGTTACATTTTACTAAAAAAAACAACTATAATGACTTAACTGTCAGATGAAATAAAATAATTGAAAGTGGA